ACTCACTGGTATCCCACCGGACTCGTACTGCAATCGCACTGCGGTTTAGTCCCCACTTGCCTCACCACTTGACCACTTGCCTCACCACTTGACCACTTGCCGACCTTCTAGAAGGTTTCCAACTAGGCTTCTGGAACTCGCTAAGACTTCTACCCTATAGACCTACAGATCGAACCCCTGCTACCTATGGACCTATGATAGACCTACCAACCTACAAATACATAGGTCACAAGTTCAACTCTCGGGATCTACACAGATACTGTACATGGGTAGGGTGAGGTTTAGGGATCGAACCCTGGGGTCTGCATCTGCTACTGCAAAAGGTGAAAACCGTTTCACTCCCGCCGTCCTAAATTCGAGGTCCTCCGAGAATATTTCAGTCCAAGGCAGGACCTTTACCCTTCTTATCGCGCTCGTAGGCTCTGACTATGTCGAGAGCTGTCTGTAGAAGTTCTGTTCTTGTAAACCAGGGGTCGTCTTCCGGTTCCTGATAAGCAAACCGGACCCTGTGAATCTGATCTCGGTTCAGTCCCTCAAACGGTCTGCGCGGCCTAAAGGACTTCCGTAGCTCGTTGGGAGTGCGACAGGTAGATAGATGCGCGTTGTTGTTGTATGCACTAGCTACTTTAGGCAACATCTCATCCCAGTTGATATGATCTCGTCTAATGTACATGCGCAGAACTTGCTGTAGGATCTTGTTCATTTGTTCTGTCTGACCGTTGGTCTCTGGATGACGGTCAGATGACATTAGCAACTTTGATCCGTAAACTCTCATGAGTTCCTGCCAGTTCTGGCTGGTGAAACGACTATCTCTATCACTAACTATCGATAATGGGACTCCATTCTCACTAACCCAATGATCGAAAAACTTCTAGATCACTAATTATGTGCGTGCCTCTGCAGGCAAAGGAACAAAAACAGCATACTTGCTAAACGGTCAATTATGACCATGACTTGGCTCTTGCCATGCCTACTTTTGACCTAAGTATCCATGAAGTCTATGGACACTGAGTCTCCTGGCTGATGCGGAATAGGCAAGGGTCTGAGAAGACCTAGAGGGGCACGCGTAGTAGTCTTATTCCTCTGACTAACTTTGCAACTGCGGACATACTCTATGCAATCGTTCTTCATTCCCGGCCAGGTATACGCATGCATTAGATTGGCTAGAGTCTTTTGCCAACCGAAATGTCCCTCAGTATCGTGGCATTCCCCTAGGATCAAACTACGAATCTCTTCGTTGTTGGGAACGCACAGGCGGTCAAATACGTTAGTCTTCTCAAACAGCAACCCGTCTGTGGTGCGGTAATCTAGCTCAGTTTTTGGGGCCTCTCTAACTTTCTTGAGGAGGTCGCTATAGATAGGGTCGTGCGCATACCCTTGCTTCACTTTCTCCTGCAGGTCTCTCCCTATATCCAGATAGTGTACTATGGCTCCAAAGTAGTCTGACCTCCTACTCAGAGCGTCCGCAACTACATTGTACTTGCCCTTTACTGGCTTGAGCTCAAAGTCGTACTGGTCTATCTCAGCGGCCCACCTAGTTAGCTTAGGTGTCATCTTGGCCTGGGTCTTTAACCATCTAAGGGTCTCATGATCAGAATACACTTTGAAGTGCCTCCCAAGCAGATAATGCTTCCAATGCTCTAACGCCTGCCTGAGAGCGTAGAGTTCTCTCTCGTACGTCGAGGTAGCGACCTTCTCTGAGGCATCCTCGCTGACATGAACTCTACGGGTCTATAGCCATTGCCGTCATCCTGCTGTAATACGGCGCCTATCCCATATTGACTCGCATCCGCGGTGACGACAAATGGCAAAGACGGATCGGCTACTTTGAGGACAGGGTACTCTATCAATGGGCGCTTTAACTTCTTTAGCGCAGACGTACAGTCTTTGTCCCATTGCCAGATTGCCTCTTTCTTAAGCAACCTGCGCAGGGGAGCGGCGATAGTAGAGAAGTTCCTCACAAACTTTCTATAATAGTTAGCTAGGCCCAGGAACGACCGCAACTCTGTCAGTGTGCGGGGCGTCGGCCAATCTCTAATCGCCGCTATCTTGCTGTCCTATGGCTTAATGCCATCTCCGTCTAATACGTGGCCCAAGTACAAGACTCGTGTCTTGGCCCACTCGCACTTCTTCGTGTTGATCTTGAAGTTAGGCTCTCTAAGCTTCTCCAAGACCTGTCTCAAATGACCCTGGTGCTCCTGGAGGGTCTTACTGAAAACTAAAATATCATCTAAGTAGACTACAACAAACCTATCCAATCAGAGTCTAAATAAGTCATTCATGCAACGCTGAAAAGTAGCTGGCGCGTTGGTTAGTCCAAAGGGCATCACTATGAACTCATAGTGCCCATATCTAGTCCGGAACGCAGTCTTATACTGGTCGTCAGGATGGACCTCTATCTGATGGTATCCGGACTTCAGATCTATATAGAGAAGTACTTGCAACCCCTGCACCCGATCTAGGAGATCGTCTATCCTGGGCAGCGGCTCAGCATTCTTCACGGTAATCGCATTCAACCCCCGATAGTCTATACGCATTCTAAGCTCTCTTTCCTTCTTGGGGACAAACAATACTGGTGCTCCAAAAGGAGACGGACTGGGCCTGATCCAACCTTTCTCTAGGAGCTCGTCTAACTGTTTGCGCAGCTCCTCTAACTCTCTAGGGGACATCCTGTAAACTGCACCCTTAGGAGTTCTACTGCCAGGTTTTATCTCTATCCGGTGCTGGATGGGTCGCGGCACTACTCCTGTCGACGACTCAGTCAAGTCTTTAAACTCCTCCAGCAGCTTGGCAATGGTTGGATCTGTGGAAGTCATCTCTTCCTTGGCCTCTGTGACAGGTCAAACAGAAACTACAAAGACCTGTTCCTCTAATCGCTCCTTCTTCACTAACCGCGCGAACGCAGGAGCACTGAGACAGCAATGTGCCAGAGTGTTGTCTACACTTGACACATGAAACAAGCGGGCAGTTTTAACCTCGCCTGACGGACTAGGGAGCCTACACTCATGCTCTCTCAAATGGAGTGTGGCCCCTGCTGCCTCTCCCCAATCCATTCCTAATACTACATCGAAAGGAAGGTCATCATGTACGAGGAGAGTTAAGGAATGGAGGACTTTCTCCACTTTCCCATCCTTCTCTAGGCGAAAGTACGCATGGACTCCCTCTACATAGTCCTCAACACGCATTGTGCGGTTGTCTGCGAGGACACTGACTATGGGGTCTACTAACTTCTGGACTTTTAGTCCTAGCCTCAGCTTCTTCAGCGCCCTACGGCTAATATAACTACGGGTGGCCCCTGAGTCTATAAGGGCCCCTACTCTACTCCCGAAAACTTCTACATCTACCAGGATTAGTTGTCCTTTACTCTCTTTCTTCATTTTGGCCCAGGCTGGCATCCTCTCCTTTAACTCTTCTGCCACACCTGTGAGAGACGTGCCTAAAGAGACGCTAACACAAGCAGTCTCTGGACAGCTAGCTAGGCACGGGCCTGCAACCTCTGCCATAGGCTCATGTGGGTTGGGAGTGTCCTGTTCGCGCGCTTTCACTTCTCCACATGGCCCTGAAGTAGGGGCAGTTGCGACCCCTACTGGCGGCTGCCTTTTGACTGCTGGGCAGCCCAACGGGCCTGTCTATACTTAGGACAAAATTTAATTACGTGGGCCTGGTCACCACATAATACGCACTGACCCTGGTCCACGCGTTCCTGCCATAAACGCTGGTTCAAGCCCACGTCTTCCCAGGGCCTGCCCTGTGGCAAGCCTAGGTGCCATCCTCCTTGAGGTGCCCTTCCACCTCGTCGCTGTGGGGACCGAAATGAACCTTGACGATTTGGCGGGGGACCTTGACCCCTACCTCCCACTTGGCGGTTTCCTTGGCCGCCAACCCCCTGTGCGCCCAATCCTCGGCCTCCCATGGCCTGGCCCCTTTGGCCCTAGCCACCTCTTTAACCTTGCGGCCTCCCTCCAGCCGCGACAGCAGCATAAGACCTCCCCTGTCCCAAACTACTGTCCTCCTCTTCAAGGCCCCATTCTATCTGACTTTATGGGACCTCATCGGTACCACCTTCCTCTAATGTCAGGATCATGAGATCCTTGGCCTTGACTTGGCCAGAGATGGTACGCCCCTTCCACCTTTTTCCCTTTTCTAAGTCCTTATGCCAGAAAGTGGAAACTGGCATGGACTTGGACTCAAACAGGACGACTTCTCTACTCAGCGCATCATATGTGATGCCGGCCTGTTGAGATTTGTCAAAGAAGTGCCCCCTCAGGGGCTCGGGCATGGCACGATAGAATAACTGGACCAATTGGGGCTCAGTAACCCCGTGGTCTGGGACGGCCACCAGGTCGTCCATAACGCCCTTGATTGCTCGCGCACTCCTCCACTGTCGTGAGTGAATTGTCTGTAACTTATCAGAGACTCTAATGCCTCTCGTTGGATCAGCAAAACGCCCCCTTAGGAGCTTAAAGAATTGAGGGAGAGTGGTGATGCTGGAATATGCAACCATGTTGTTTTCACAACTGGCTGCGCGCGCAAGGGACCTAGCGAAACTAGCTGCCTCATCCTTCAAGGCCTGGAAGGCCACGAGAACTTGCTCATATGTCAGGATGTGCTGTAGATAAACATAAATGTTGACACTGGCCTCCAAGTTGTCAAAGTTATCCTCCTTTTTCCCTCCATAGGCATCTGGGAATTTGAGCTTTACTGGGTCCTTACGAGGTCGGGCCTCGCCCTCTACAGCGACTATTGCTTTGGCGCCTTCAATGGCGCCTTTGCAGAACTTTCCTACATTGTCCCTTATTTGTCGGACTTCGCCCCCAATGTGGGTGACGATATCGCGCGCAAAATCTCCGAATCCCGACCGCATGGCACTTAAGGCTACCTCTTGGCTCCAACTAGCTTGGCGCTCCTCCATCCACGCTGTACTCAGCACCTCCAAGTATCCCAACACTTTGTCCCATTTGGCCTTGTCGTCGGCCTGCGCCTCCACTACTTTCCTACACTACTGTACCTTTGCCACCTCTGCGGTCAGTTTGTTCACTTCCTCTCTCCTCCTCTTCTTCTCCCTCTTCATCCTTAACTTCCACGCCAACTTCTGCTCCTCCTCCCTTTCTCGCCGTTCCATAGGATCATTCATTGCTGCTAGCTCATTGGCTAGCGCCTCCTTCTCATCCTGAGTCACATACGACTCCGCCTCCTCGTCTTCTCCCAACAATAAATTAGCGACCCACTCACTTATTTTCTTCTCCATCTCTGCGTTTGTATCTCTCTTCGTGCCACTACTCCCCTCTCTACTCTCAATCCTCATTCTCTCTTTTTCTTCTTCTGCTGCCGCTTCTTCTTCAGCAACCTTCTTCTTTCTCTCCATCTCCTCCTCCAATTCTTTCATTTTCGCCGCCTGCTCCTCTGCGATAGCCTTTAGCTTCGCCTGCTTCTCGAGCTCCTTCCTCTCTTTGTTTTCTTTCACTAGGGCGGCCATCTTTGCTTGCTGCTCAGGGGTATAAGAACTAACGGTCTTCCCACTACGCAATTCCATTATGGTGATAGGTGCACAATCAGAATGATTCCACTCCTCACCACGTAGACTCTAACCCCTAACTGACAGACCTACTGACACAATCCAAGGACTCACAGAATCCTGACAGGGATCCTGCCAACTATGGTCTCTAGCCTAGACCTAACTATGGCTGTCACTACTAGACCTGTTGCTGATCAGGAGGCATTTAAGGAGATCCCCCGTAACTCCTCAGGAATTATTTAACGTCGCAAACAGGACGATGTGATCAGCAGGTCTTGCCTGTTGCACAACCCACAACTCAGCCTTTCGGGCCTACCGTGCCACACCGAGCAGCCCGCCGGTCAGTACCGGTCCTTGGGAGGGTTTGACCTCCGGGACAGTCGAGTCGTCAGACACGGCCTTTAGCCTTACTTAGTCCGGCAGGGGTTTGGGTCAACAAGGCCCTCAAAACTTAGATTGCCTGTTGCGCAGCCCACAACTCAGTCGTTTCGGCCTACCATGTCACGCCAATCCGCGCCCCGCCGGTCAGCACCGGTCCTTGGGAGGGTTAGGCCTCCGGGACAGTTGGATTAGTCACAGTCTTTAGCCTTACTAGGTCCGGTAGGGGTTTGGTCAACAAGGCCTATCCTTCACCCACAGAGTACTATCACCTAGGACAGAAGAGACTCGATGCACAAAGAATAGACAGACAGACTTAACCCAGCAAGTACCAAGGGGTGTGTGCACATCCATAGGGCGAGGGATAGGCTGAGGGCTTGGCGAGATGTTACCGGCTCCAGCTTGGTCAAAGTCTTGGTCAACGCTGCGATCAATGTCGGTCAACGCTGCGATCAACCCCCGGTCAACTCCGGTCAACGCCGGTCAATGCCTCCGGTCAACTCTCCGGTCAGCTATGGCTGCCGGCTCCTTCTTCCTCGCCAGCCTCCCTCTTCTCTTCACCTTCCTCGCCTCCTTTCACCCCGACTGTCTTCTTCTTCTCTCTTTTTTTTTTTTTTTTTTTTTTTTATCGGCCTTCTCTGCACCTCTCAGTTATCGCCGCTTTCTCTTCACCTTCCTCTGTCCGATTTCTCCCTCCTTCGTTACTCCGTGGTGACACCCCGCGGCTATGGCCGCTTCTTCTTCTTCGTGGACTGCGCGGCAACTTCATAGGTACGTAACAGCCAAACTTGTATCGCTCATCTCTCTCTCTCTCTCTCTCTCTCTCTCTCTCTCTCTCTCTCTCTCTCTCTCTCTCTCTC